CTCCTGGTGGCCGTCTCCTGGGTCATTACAAACCTGCACGCTCTCCTCCACACTCTGCTCATGGTCAGACTCAACTTTTGTTCCCACAACACTGTGCGCCACTTCTTCTGTGACCCCTACCCTATCCTGAAGCTCTCTTGCTCTGACACCTTTATCAATGACCTGATGGTTTTCACTGTGGGTGCTGTGATATTTCTGACACCATTTACATGCATTGTTCTTTCGTACGCCTACATCTTCTCTAATGTGCTGAAGTTGCCCTCAGCCCAGGGGATAAGGAAAGCCCTGTCCACGTGTGGGTCCCACCTCACTGTGGTTTCCCTCTTCTATGGGTCAATCCTGGGGGTCTATATGCACCCTTCATCCTCCTACTCACTACAGGACACAGTGGCCTCTGTCATCTTCACAGTGGTGACACCATTGTTCAATCCCTTCATCTACAGCCTGAGGAATCGGGATATGAAAGGAGCCCTAAGAAAACTAATTCTCAGATGCTAGCATTGGGGAATTTTAGAATTGAGAATTATTTTTACAAACATGGAGGAAAACTCATACATGACTCTTCCTGTAGTTATCAATAAGTGATGATAATCATGCTCTTAAATTTCAGACTGACAGGTACTCATAGTCATAAGACCAGTAATTCACCATGTATAAAAATCATTGATTCCAAGGTGTTCATTTTATAGGCAAGAAAAACCAAGGACTAGAACTATTTGGATGTTTACTGACTCCAGAAACCCTCTAATATAAGTGGCCCCAACAATAATCTGGGAATTTCAGAAGACTTTTGAGGTGACTCTCCTCAGAGTCACATGCACTCTACGGCCTCAGATGAGGAGGTGGCACAGCTATCCTGGTGAATGGTGAACAGAAAGGTTAACTTACCTTGGCTGATACCTTCGGTAGGTGTTGAATACAATGTTCCTGACTTTCACTGCCATGTTAGGTCATTCTGCCTCTGTCCTAAGCTTAAGTCCTCCTCTACCTCTCTCTGCTACACTGTCCTTTGGATCTCCTCCTCTTGCCTAAATATCTATTTCAGGTTTTGTCATTCAGCACAGCTACAGCTAAGGGATGGGTACCAGGAAGTTAAAGACAGTCGTTCTTCTCCATGGAACTCTTGGTATCCCTTCAGGATTAGAGGAGCTGCAGGAAGCAGAGATTCTCTTGGAGTTAGTGCCTAGAGTTACCATGGGACATGAGTTAATTGAAGAACTGGGATTTGAATGTAGAACTTCAGATTCCAAAGTCAGGAGTCCAAGCCTCTTCTCCATTTCTACCTCTGAGAACAGAGCTACTTTTCTTTCCTGGTGTTCAAAGCAACTCATTGGAATTAGAGACAGTGATCACTGGGCAATAACCAGTCTTCAGGGGCCCACTCTCACTGCCCTTCGTGCCCCTCACTTCTCTCCTTTCTCCGTTTCCTTCCGTGTCACGGCCACTTGCTACTCGCAGTCCTCACCGTCAGCTCCATCCCCACACAGCCCTGCCACTCACCAGCTCTTACCTCGAGCCCAGCAGCAGCCTCCCAGGGAGTCCCTAGGCCCTCTGCCTCTCCTTGTGTGTCTCTGTCCTGCTTGCAGGTTCAAGTTAGAGTATTGAACTTATCCTGCAACCAACCCTCACAGAATATTTGGAAGAGGCCAGGAAAAAAACCCAAATATTTTCCCCTTTAGGCAGAAAGACTGACATCACTTGGCATCAAGCTGGCCTTACAGCTTTCTCCCTCATCAGCTTAAAAATTTCTCTTCTCAGTGCCAGGGATTTAGCTCAGTGGTTTTGCCACCTGCTGCACAAGCACAAGGACCCGAGTTTGATCCCCAGTACCAAAAAAAGAGATTTCTCTCCTCTCTCACATATCCCTGAGTTCTCTTCATTCCTCTTTCTCTTCATTCTCTGCTGAAACAGTCCTCTGAGCTTTGGAAACTCCTACAACTGTGCATTTGTCTTCAATCCTCATGAATCTGACCCCACACACACGGTGGAACTCACCACACAGGACTCTCAGGCCGTGTGTGGTGTCAGCCAGAACCTGACTGTGCATGACAAACTTCACGTAGTTCCGACTGGTCAGTTTCATTTCAGAGAAAGTTCGGTGAAAATGTTTGTGCTGTAACAAAATGGACTAAGCGTTAGCATTTAATGTTCTGTGACGCATGTTGTTCCCACTGTCTTCCTTCATTTCCCAGATCTGCAAACATCTGTTATCTCGTTGTTACATCACACACTCAGTTTGAGAAAGCACCACAGCGTCTGCGTGCACATGTCCCCAAATGTGCTCAGTAGAGCTCTTGGTCCCCTAAAAAATCATGCAATGGGGTATCACTGATAATGTAAGACAAGTCTAATGGATGAAGGTAGCTGAAAGATTTCTCCTTAAAATACTGAAAATTGCTGACCTTAAGACAAAAAATGGAGCCCTTTCTGCCTTTCCCCATGTTTGCCTGATGGAAGGACAAGGACTGACACAGACAAATGGTCGACCTGTCCTTCCTGACTTTTCTCCACTAAAACAAGCAATGTGAGCCCTCCCCTCTTGGAGAAGCTCCTCATCAGCCCAGAGATTGTGCCAGAAAACACCAAAAGAATCTGGGAGCAGGCATTTCCACCTTCCCATAGTCTTCCTACAACTGAACCCAGAAACTTCCTACCATCTGTCTTATCCTCAAGACATACTACCCTCCAGTAAAAGAATATTGAAGACCAAATCCCAGGTAACTGCTGAGCGTCAGTTATTTTGCTGAGAGAGTTGCTTCTCTCCTACAGGACAATCATAGTAAGTGTTTCTAATCCTCCTTATGATTTCCTCCTGATGATCTGCCCCTTTTCTGAGGGAATTTCTCTCAGCTAAGAACCTCTGAAAACTAGGAAAAGAAACAACACTTTTCTCTACTTCATAGAAAATTAGGAAATGGAAGTCCTAGCCATCAAAAATCAGAATAATGAATCTTAGAATCTAGGAAATGAGAGTCTTGCAAGGTTACTCCAGAATGTGGACAGATTTCATTACATTCTGGGACACAACCAGGAACCCAGGTTGAATGGAGAAAGATGTGGCTGGTGTATGGGTTAATTTCTCAGTCTCTCCCTTTCACCTCTGGTCAAATACTGAATGTGAAACAGGAAATGCAGCTAGAAGAAAGTCAGTGAACTTAGTAAAGGGTGTGCTGAGACAAAGGGAAAATCACTCTCCATCCATATGGTCACCCCAGTTCATCTGGGGAAGTCATTTTGTGCCATACAGAGGGCTTGCCTGAAGAGGGAAAAGAAACTGACACCAGAACAACAGCACAATGTGCTCAGAAGAGGAAAGGCCAGCACCTTGCTTGACCTACCCATGCTGTGAACAGTTATGTGCTGGTTAATTCTGTATGACTCGTCATGTCTTTCAGTACCCACTGCTGGGCACGACCAACCACTGCATCCTCACTGACTCCCCACATCGCTTCCCATGGCCCAAGAGCGCAGGGGAATGGAAAGACTGCTCCAGAGGCCTCGGAAGAATCAGTCCTGGTGTGGCTCTGCATGTGGGGCACTCATGGGACATGAACTGGTCAGAAATTACAGGGGTCTCTGGTGGTAGCTCTCCCTGCAAGCAGACGTGATCCCAGGCTGGGAGAGTCCCTCCCAGGGACAGCCAGGAAGTCAGGACTGTGTCTGCTGATTTGTCCTCCAGGGCCTGAGTCCCCAGGGACCAGGCCTGTGCCAGGAGCCTCCTTCCTGCAGCGTGGACTCCTGGGAGGCGCCTCACCCTCTGCCCCACAGGCAACTGCCATTCTGTACTAATCAGCCATTAGGGGCCAACGCTTGGGGAGCCAATTAAAACCACTCAGGGAGAAAAGTTCAACTTCAGCTCAGTGAATGTCGAAATACAGGGTCATCCTTTCTACCTGCACCACTCCCCAGAGACCATTCTCTCCAGAGGAACCAGGGCTTTCCCGTGTCAGGGCCATTGGAGACATTTCCACGTTTCATGGCATCACCTCCCTTAACTTGTCCCTCAGGTTCCTACTCCAAGGCCAGGCCTACCAGGGAGCCTTCATGGAGAGCCTGGTAATGTCATCACAAGTGAGAAGCCCTCCCTGACATTTGCTAGTGATTGCGATCTTCTATAGATGGTTCTTACCACCCTATATTACATTGTCTCTGTTGCTTCATGGCAGACATTAATCTTTCCGGTACTTTATATCTGACAATGAGCCCTCAGCAATGACTAGGCTCTGGCATTGACTTTGTGCCACATGGATATTGAGAGCTGGTTTTGTCTAACTGGCGAGTTCTGAGCCCTAAGAAATCTGACTCTACACTAACTCTTCAGGTGTGAGTCGCCGGATTCTGACCAGCCGATTTTCAAGCTGGTCATCGATCATTTGCTATGTACTTCGTGCTTATTGTGTTGCTGATCAAGAATTGTTGGTTTTGGCTCCTAGAAGACAAAAAACAGCTGATTGCATCCCTGGCACAGGGAAAATAAGGTGAATGTGGAACATCATGTAGCACAAAAAGTAAGAATGTATCAAAAACAAGATACAAAGAAAGAAAAGAAGAAAGGATGAAAGAAGGGAAGGAGGGAAGGAAGGAGGATGAGGAAGGAAAACTGGAACGATTCCAGATCAAAGTAAGTAGTGTATTATAATTTGAGCATCCCTCATCAGAAATCCAAAATGCTCCAAAAAATCAGAACTTCTGGGGACAACATGATACCAAAAAGGGAAAATTCCACACCTGAATTACTTGACAGGTGCAGACAAAATGCAGTTACCCTAAAAATATTATATAAAATTACCTTCCACCTATGTGCACAGTTTGTACATGAATTGTAAATTAATTTCACGTTTAGCCTTGTGTCCTACCCCATCGCTTCTCAGCCTTTTGGCTGAGATCAAGTGTAGTCTTATGTCCTATCCCCAAGGTATTTCAATATGGATAAGCAACTATTTCAAAATCCAAAAAAAGATGTAATACATCTGATCCCAACCATTAATGATAAGGGATACTCAGACAATATTGTATTATAACTCAAAGTATGAAATAAAAATAAATAAGTACATACAGATAAAAACAAGCAATTGAATAAGCAAATAAGTGAGAGAGAAGGAACAAACTTTCTTTATAGAAGATTTCCAAGTAGTATATGGAGATATTTCATTCTCCCAATTCCCACCCACCAGAATGTGAAGCTGAACTCTCTGCTCTCCCCTGGAGGGTAAGATGGAATCAGCACTCTCTGCCAAAGAGTAGACTATGGAAGGGCAAAAAATCTTCCTGGTGGAGAACCCTAGTAAGTATCACCTGAACCAAGTGATGGAGGTCAGCATCACCTGTGATGGGTCCGACTGAAATCGTGTGTCCCTGAGATGGCGTGATATGGACATTTCACCCACGTGGGGATTCTTCTCCAAAAGCCAAAATGACAGGATCATCATGGGGAAAAAGAGAACCCCAAATAGAAAGACATATTACAAAATGCCTGACCAAGACGCACATTCTCATTG